GGCTTTGGGTTGGGGGTTGCTAAAGCTTGGGGGGTGGGGGGCTTTGGGTTGGGGGTCGTTAAAGCTTGGGGGGGGGGCTTTGGGTTGGGGGTTGCTAAAGCTTGGGGGGGGGGGGGGGCTTTGGGTTGGGGGTTGCTAAAGCTTGGGGGGGAGCTTTGGGTTGGGGGTTGCTAAAGCTGCCATTTTGATGGCGGACTTCCTTAGACACTAACAACCTGTTACTCATTATACTACAAATAGAGACGTTTCTTAGGCACGTGGTTTAGTTGTACAATATCACATACATAGCAAGCCTCTACTCTCGTTAGCATACTGGATATTATTCTAGTCGTCAACAAGCCGTCTCCAGTAATTATCAGGAAACACTTCCGAAACACTTTAATTAAGAGATAACTATAAGGATGCGAATTTGATACAAACACATTTAGAATCTGATTTTACCATTTTCTCTTGAAAAACTGAAAACCGGTTTCCTATTTCAGCTGACAAGGCTTTAAACTCGATAAAGGCTTGCGTGGTTTTGCAGTCTGCTGTATATGTTTCTTTTGAACTTTAAATGATAGCTCACACAGACGTATTATATGTTGTTTTATTATTCAGATCTCTCTTTCTTTAAACACACAAGTTCCTTTGCAACTGATGTCACAAATAGATAGTACAATATTTTAGTGTAGTACATGTACAGTATGTAAGTGATGTTTATTTATAATCAAGAATCACAGCAGCGATTTAGTGTATGTGCGCCATTACATGGTACACTGGCGTCGCCTGGTACGACTTTATCAATAGTAAATACAACAAAATATCAATTCCATTTCTTTATTCCTGTGTATGCTCTGACGGGAGTACGGAAGCGGTGCACAGGTATTGTTAAAAACATAAATATGACTACAGATTGAATCGTACAGAAGTTGTACCGTTTGGGAGTTCTGAGCGACCTAGACCAGGTAAGTTTATTGTTGGTGGATTTAATTCTATTTACATCCTGTATATGGTTAACATAAACTATGGGATTCACTTATTGAACCAATAACAAAAGTTAAACTCTGAACTTTTAACATTAATTTCTAACCAAGAACATATCGGCATGCTTTTATCTAAATAGTGATTTACTATTATTATTCTATCTGCTAGTAGCTCACGGCAACGTCGACCGTGGATTTTTATAATTAAAGATACAGCATATGAATTACTTCAATCATTACGAGTGCAACATCATCAACAGAGATGTGTAACTTTCTACTTTGTTATAAGCTTTTCTCTTCTTGTGAATTACCCATTTCTGAACAGTAACATAGAACCTACCAGCTTCCAGAACACCTATAGTTTATATTTCACTGTGTGCTTGATAGACGTTTATTCGATAAATAATGGTTGTATTCAAAATCACGACCTACGTGACAGCCGACGGATACATTACAACATGAGATATCGAGAGAACAAGCTGATGAAGACTATTTATAATAATTCTGGTAGCTTCGCTATTTATTGATCCCTTCCTTTCCTCATATCTGTAATTTTTTCTATCGATTTTCGTTTGATTGTAAATGCATGTTGTGAATTTCCAAATATATTCAAACGTTAAGAAAATTAACGGTTCCATTGCATTGATAAACGATATCACTTTTACCTGTATCAAACAATACCTTAAACAAACCGAATTCCACTTCTTTTTGGATAAACAAAGAAAAAACAACACGAAAATACCAAAATACCAACACAATCATAATTCAAACTCGAATTCCATAAAACAAGGGCAAAATATTAACAAACGAAATGTTTCTGGAAAAGTACAAGGAGAAAAGACCATGTGTTCCGGAAGACTATGGTCTTCTACTTCGTCGACGACACCCATCATGTAAATCATGATATATCACCACACAATGATAGATAAAGCATCTGCATTTTAGATAGGTAATGGCATTTTCCTTTATCCTGCAGGTCACGCATGCATGCGTCAAGGGTCAGAGTTTGTACAATGTTAAACTGTCTGACATCTGCTCGGATCTGTAAAGCGACTGCGTCCATCATCTCTCTCACGTATGCCCTGTATCTTTTCTGGCTGACACACGTGTTCCTACCCGAGGAGTTGCATGGCTTCGACATATTCAGTGATGACGTCATCGATGACGATGATATAGAAGATATGATGTCATTCGAAGACATGATAAAGGAACATACTGAAGAGATTTATTCTCTTTAACTGGATCTACTGGAAAATACAACGCAAGAATCACGTGTTTGAATTGTTATATTTTATTGTAGCAATCGATGTTTTTGATATTTATAATTAGATTATAATTCGCCTAAGGGAAAACACGGAATATGATTTACAGAAAAAAATCACGATCAAATAACCATGCCTATGACTGATATACTGTTCGAAAATTCCCTTTTGCAGATGAAAACCAGAAGGTGATTGTGATGATGTAAACTTTCGGACTGACCCACGCACGCAGTTACACGACATTCACTCATTCGTTAATTACTTATCCAGATAATAAATACGTCAATAACTTTCTATCTTCGAGGATGCTGACGTACAATGTACCTCCATTTTCGCATTCTGTGACTGCAGCTAAGCAAATAAAGCGTTACTGTGTGAAATGTTTTTGACATTTTCGTCCAAAACGCAATCGTATTGTGGTTAGACTTTTAAAAGCATATCTCTGTTGGAAATAAAAATCTATTGAACTTTCATTAGTGTTAACCTATATATGTATTTATGATGCAGCCTCGTCACTGCGAGACTTTCAACGAGACTCCAACTGCTATTTCTTAACGTTGAACAATACATAAGACTGAAAGACTTTCTAGGTGCGATTGTCCGTACATTGGGGTATATATGCCGTAAGTGTGTTGTTTCTAGAACATTAAAAACTAAATGTCGCTTTCATTTACTTTTGCGCTCTGTACACATCATCAATAGGGCAAAGATGACGGTTATAAAGCACCAGGTATGAAACCTAATATAGTTATATAACACTTGGTTTGTAAACAGTCAGTACTGCTGTATAACACGCTGGTTTCGTAATTAAATGTCATATGTATATTCGTTACATGTAACACCCAATTATAACTGCTCAATTGTGTTCACGAACAGTCGAACTCTGTTCACTGCTGTAATCTGAAGTTACAACTAACTCATGCCTCAACCTCTGTAAGTTTACCGTGTGAACCAATAAAAGTAGCAATATGTTCTGTGTATATAATCACCTTCCATATCAGATATTATACATATCGGCCATCTATATCCAAGTAGTCCGTGTTGTATCCTATAGATTTCGTAATGAAGTATTTTAATTCACAAGGCGACGTCATAACATGGCAAGCCTAAAGGTCATTAATTGTAGAACACCGTCAATAAATAGAACAAATTATGACCTATATTTGATTGGCACTGCTTTGTAGATAACTGCCGCTTTGACATGCCAATGATAGTAAAATTACCATTTGAGGAAATAAAAGTCATTGAGTGTCATTCTAGTCAGAATTAACATCATACCGATCACTGATCCTATTCGAACGTGTAACAGTTTTAGATATCTCTAGTTTACTGATAATTAACGAAACCAGCGAGACCAAATGATCCTTAGTGGTGTCACAGATACCACATCAGCAGTAACGTTCTGTATTTAAAAGTTTGAACAGTTAGACAGAAGTCACAGTTCCGTACTGTTCTATTCGTCACTTCATATTGTGAATATTCATCTCATCGATAAATTCTAAATCAGAACAGGTTGTAAGATACGATCAACCAAGGAAACTAGTAACTTAAATACGTGTGCTGTATGTACGACCAGCTTGTAAATCATACTAATTAGAAACCAGTAAAAGTAGACAGTAGTAAACAAGCATGGTATATGACCTTACCCAGGTTAGTTAATCCTTTGATATTACTGGTGGATAACAGTTTGATTAATTTGTAGACAGAGTCCTTAGCAGCATAATCTGATTTATACCTTTATATCTTAGTACACTGAAGGAGGGGTATTTCAGAATAAAGGCGAATTCGTCTTCGGCATATTTTTTTCTTTTCTTATTTTTTTTTTCTTTTCGTAACACAAAGAATCAACGGAGACACTGAGTTCTGAACAAATGCCAAATGGCAGTGGATTGGCAAACGGCAAGTACTGAACTCGCAAGTGGTATATCACCTGTTAATGACCTGTCAATCCAGTTAGTGAAATAAAACAGGAGTGATAAAGACAATATATAGGGGGTCAGGATTAGGAGTACATAGTGACCTGCTTAAAGTCAGGATCTACTAGGTCGACCAAATATAGGGTGACAATTAATTAAGTTTCAAGGACTTTTGATAAATTGTATGTATTTACAGAAATCATTTAGATTACATAATATGAATGTATTGTTTTATTCTTTTTCTGTCATTGGCGACCGTTTTATCTTTGGGGCGAGTTACCCCTCAATAAAACTTATGTCTTTTAAAGGTGCCTTTATGAATGTGTTTTTGTTGCTATGGTTTCAAGGAGAATAAATGAAACAGTTCCTGTTATGTGATTTAACTGTTTTTAATAGAAATGAACATTATGGAAAGTGTTTTTCTTTGTGACAATAAAGTCCGTGGTAACGTATCTTACTTGATATTCACACGTTTCCCTTCAGGTCCGTCTATACGTTTAATTCGAAAACTGGCGTCAACTTCTACATGACACTCCAAGAGAGACAACTCTAAAGTATTTTAAATGTGGTCGAACATGAAATCTGACATAACATTTTCATTATATGCTATATGTTTTGTTTGTGTGCTATATATTCTCTTTTCTTATATTAAACCACCAGTCCATTCATGCATTTGTAAATCCGAAACGAAACATGAAATAAAGATGGCAGCTTTCGTGATTACATAGTCTATTTATAGAAGGGAATCCCAAAAGGGTGATCCCCAGTGTTGAGAGACACAGCTGGACCTGAGAGCAAGTAAAACATTCCTGACTTCTGTGAGAACTGAGATGGGTTTTGTAGAAACATATAACTTCATATATGGTAAGACTATTACATCGAATGTAAGACATTTTTTCTTGTTGTGACGAGGGCGGAAGCTGATCGAATTATTCAGCTGTCTAACGTGTTGACATTATCAGCTAATTATCGCTATGGCTTTTTCACTATGCAAGCAACAACGCACGTGTTTTCGATGTACGAACCTTATATATCGGCTTCAACCTACCACGCCCCTTACACGTGGAATGAGGGACGAGGCTTACTTCAGGTCGAAGGAGTACCGGGAGAGAACGTCATCGGTTACGACTTTCTACGACCAAAGTGCCATAGACCATGTAGCAGCTAAGGTCAGTATATCACAGGTCATTGTAAGGAAGTAAAATCGTGATTGGCTTAAAGAGTACTTGAACTCACCAATCAACCTATTTGATCCCATAAAGATATACAGTTGTGATAAAACACAACGCGCCAAAAACGTATTGTTCACACATATGTCATGCATATCTCATCTGCACACATGCACTACAGTAACTAGTGCACAACTGTGCAATAGGTTGCACATTTTGTGCAGTTTAGTAAAAATTGTTGACTACTTTTAGGCAAAGTCAACGGAAATCTTAAGTAGTTATGACTAAAAAGTTTTTGAAATGACATATTAATTAGTCTTTTTGATGTATAAGTTCACACCTCAGAGAGTGGTGAGTGGTGAGCCTCGGGCAACAAAAATCTCCTGTATAAGTGAAAGGTCTGTATCCATACCAGCTAGGTCTCGTTACTAAAAAAGACAAGACTTAGAATTTACTTGAGAATATAATTTGCACTAAAAAATTTCCTTTCTGATTGCATGAGATTTAAAATGATTCATTGCTGATGTAGCGGTATGATCATAACAAAGCCGCTGGGTTTGAATTGTTTACTTTTATTAAAATAGAGAGAGAGAGATTCCAGAAATATTCAGAGACAGTCTTACTGACAGAAGAATTCAACCGTTCACTTGAAGAGAAACAATTCAAATGTACCAAAGTTCTAAGGACAGTAAAAGAAACCCACACGACAGAAACTTTCAACCAATTTAACAACTTCGTCAAAGTCTGTCAAGTGTCACATGTCCAGTCCGTAGCTGATCACAACTCACGTACAGCACACATACATATGTACAAAGCGCAAGCAAAAATATGTACTTGCGCTATACCTGGTACAAAATGTGTATATGTACCGGTATACATTAACAGGCAAAAGGTAACGCGAGTTTTACAAATAATATTAAAAAACAACCTATTCAGTATATTGTACAACATATACAACAGAATTTGGCAATCAATATAATAACTTGATAATTTTGACCTTGTTACACTGAGACAAAAAGAGACGTCGGTTTAATGTTTAATTATATAACATTTATATAATGAGTGGCTGCACACTAAGACTGGACATCAATCATAATTTACTTTTAAACAAAACACTATAATATGTAAATACAGGTGTATCACTATTCAATCTGTATGTGATAGATCTACAGGTGTTTAACCTTTATATTTATGACCTTGTAAGGAAATAAGGTTAGCTATACTATCATACATTTTACAGATAAGTAAACCCTATCCCAAATCAAGCTTTAACTCTTTTCAAAATTCATATCAACCACCATAGAATTGTACATCTGTGTGATAGAATGTCACATGGTGTGTACACATCTGTGTGATAGAATGTCACATAGTGTGTACACATCTGTGTGATAGAATGTCATATTGTGTGTACATCTGTGTGATAGAATGTCACATAGTGTGTACATCTGTGTGATAGAATGTCACATTGTGTGTACATCTGTGTGATAGAATGTCACATTGTGTGTGCAACTGTGTGATAGAATGTCACATTGTGTGTACACCTGTGTGATGGAATGTCACACGATGTGTACACATCTGTGTGATAGAATGTCACACGGTGTGTACATCTGTGTGATAGAATATCACATAGTGTGTACATCTGTGTGATAGAATAGTAAATGTATGTATATGGAGCAAGACCCCTCTGGAGATCCCTGGCCCAGCAATTATATTAAGTTATCTTCTCTGATCCCTTTGACCCAAGATTTTAGGTGAGATGGAGACAGGTGTATAGTAGAATATACAAGTAAACAGGAAAACAAAAACAAATAAAAGCTAAAAAATCAGTAGGGTGAGTATTGTATACAATTACAGGTGTTTATTAAGGCAGCAGTTGACAGCTGACATATATATAAAAATATATCTATGAATTATACATTTGTATGTAAATTATTGTATTCATATATACATGAAAAGCAGCAAAACAACAATACATTGTGTCATTTTTTATCCTTTTTGATGTGTAATCTAAAAATCTGGCTGTGTTTGCTTAAATGTTGCTCCATATCAAATAATAGTTAGTGAAAATGTCAAATTGTTGGCAATTAAAAGAAACAAGGACTTAGCAAAGCAAACTTGACACTCAAAAATATCAATTTGATCACTGTCATCCATTCATAGCAGTGAAATGATAGTGTTTGCAATTTTGTTTTATTCTCACTTGAACATTTTTACTAACCACTGTTTATCTCTGTCCAGTCTTTGTACAACCAGGCTCTGATGTCAAACTTTCCTTTTAAACAACTTTTTCTCAAGAACCAAACAGCCCAGGGTATTGATACATATATAGAGCCTGTAGAATGCTAGGATGAATTAAGGGCTACCACCTTTGTTCAGATGTATGACCTTGAACCAGCTTCATTATTAATGGGGGTTTTTTATGTTAAAATTCTTCTTCTCAATAAGCAAATGTTCAGGATGCTGATATGCTGCCAAGTTTGTTCAATGAAGCACTCTATCACAAGGGTCAGGTTCAAATATGTTACATTGTACAATTTTTGAGCATTTTCCTATTAACTGGATGATGGGGGTTACTGGTATTCCTGTAGCATGCTATGATGAATGGCTGCCAACTATGACTGATCTTGTTCCACTTCTTCTTTTCAAGAACCATTAGGCATTCAGTCATGGTATTTGTTAAATAGCATACTTGGGAAATTGACTCTCAAGTTTGCAGAAAATGACTGATTGAATAGACAAATGTCAGGTGAAGAACAGGAGAGTGATATTCAGGTCCATTGGATATTTTGTTCTTTAAACAACTTCTTATTAAGAACTGTTTGGTGTAGAGTCATGATAATTGTTGAGAAGAGATTCCATGAATAAAGGATGACTAAGATTGTACAAAGAAATAACCATGAGCCATATTCTAAAGCACAGGGGTCAAATTCATTAGAAACCTCAAATTTCTAATTATTATTATCAAAAGGTCTAGAATAATAAAATGTGGCTGGTAGGTTATTAAGTTCACCAAACATAGATTGGAACTTGCTGATTTTATCCTGAGTGTTATTTTTTATCATTATATTATCATCATTCTTTCCTTTTCTTTCACTTTCCCGCCGTAAAGGTTTCTGACACTTTGCTCCAAAACTTTAAGTTGAATCTTCACTAATCTAAAGAACAAGGTATAAGGTGTATATTAATAAATTACATTGTTACTGCTAAATGGAGGCTCCTTATTGTTTGAAATTAAGATATTGTTTTATTTTAATGATATTTGGCATGAAGTGTAGTCATGACATCCGAAACACAATGGTGATGTCCATTTTCTGATTGGACAAAATGGCTGGCCGGGTGGCAAGTAAAAATTTTCATTTTTAATGGCGTACATCAGTGCTTACCAGCAAGGTCCAAGTTTATTGTTTAAAGTCTTGAAACATGTATGACAGCCTCTTCCTTACTTAAATAGATATTCTGGAGGTCTCAGTTTACCTCATGTGTCTCAGTTTACTTCATGTGTCTTTAGTGCCCCTACAATATGATGGATTATAATCATCTAAGTTACAATTTTTAAATTTCTTTTTCATTCATTGCCTATTTTTTACAAGATATAATTGATAATGCATGCATATGGTACATCTAATGCAAATTTTGCACTCTCCACTTGTCCATCACAGACGTGGGCTAAGTGTGGGCGAAGCACGTACAAGACTATACATGTCAGTCAACAGTATGTCTATGTAATACCACGATCTGTGATGACACACAAGGTCATGTGGGCACCTATTTGATTTGTTGTTCATTGTTAAGTGATCTTTTCTGTAACTTATTTCAACTCTCTAAGAAATTTTCTTCTACAGCCCTCTGTTCGACTAACACCCTCAAGTCTGCTGTATGGGGGACACAGTCATGACAAAAGCCATATACTGGTAAGTTTTATCCAACACCCAACTCACATAATACAGTATTAATATTCGTTAGTAAGCTCAAAAACGGTTAAACTGTCCATCTATATTTCTGTCAATAAAATTTTTCACTCTTTCGCATCAAATAGCCAGTCCACTGGCTTTGATCCCAAATCTCAGCAGTCAATCCGTAGAGTGTCCAACTGAAGACTGAAGGGTCTCTTGTTCTTACCCCAGCAATGACATCGTATTTCATAACTCCTTATTAGCCATTGATCACTACAAGGGTAGAAGCTGATAGTAGATTGAAATGCTTCCTTGGAGATATTGGGTTGTCATTGTCTTTTGGGGTCAAAGACTTTGTGAAGAAGGGAGTGTAGAAGTTGAGAGTACAGGTTGCCTGGCTTCCCTTGGCCAGTTTGAATTCCCTTTAGTTGAGTGGTAGAGCATCTAAATGGAGACATAAGGTAATCAGTTGGACCCCCAGCAGTGGCAAGGTGTTTTTCATTACTCCCTCATATTACATATGTAGTGTTTTCCCCTTTACAATGAGTGTAGGAAGGCCAAGAGGATGAATAATTTTTTGGACGTATCTGTCTTTCTCTCCATCTACTTGTCTGTCTATATAGCTACCAGCCTCTTTACATACATTATTTTGTAATCTGCCATTGGGTGTGTTACTAGTTAACATGGCAACAAGTTATTAACACAAATTGTACTATAGAGGATATTGTCGAGTAGTCTTATGTTATCTTGGAAGACATTTTCATGATAAAATATTGTCATGAATTATCTATTATTAAAGTGAATTACTGGTCCTCAATTTTAATTGATTTTAGGTGTTTTCATTTTTAAGGGATATGATGGTTAAAGTTGGTAATATTTCAGTCAACATATCATGATAAACCTAATGTTACTATAGCTCTCTATCGCATGTCAGATGATGTTTGTAAAGGTTAGTACTGTCAATTTACATGTATAGTGTACACTTTCTTAGGCAAAAACTGTCGTGTCAAAAAGAGCGTGTGTACTATACGCAGGAACATGCCATTCTAGGAGGTTATCATTCTCAAGTTTTCTGTCCGCCATATTGGATTACCTCCCTTCACATAGTTATATTTAGAGTCGTCAGTCATAAAGATAGGTTGAAGATAAAAACAACAAAGAATAAAATAAATTTTGAATGTTTTAATGTAATTTATATTTAACAAACAACTTATGACTGATAAGTGCACTAAGTAGGAAGCAGTTGATAAACAACATAGGTATGGAATATGTTTTACCTGTAGACATAGTTTGTATACAATCTGATAAATATTATATTTTTCCTTTGATAATCAACACTTTGTGGTCCGTCATTATTATTCCCAGTTCCTAGAATGATAATTAAGGTAATTGTCAGTAACCATGATTGTTGATATTGTAACAGTATATGACTACCTTTATTTAATGTATTTAAATGTGAGGTTTGGGTATAGGTTTGTTCGGGTCGGTATTTCCAAACTGATGGTTAAGTGGCACATTTGTGTTCCCCAATGTCATTTGTCTCCTATTTCCAAAACATTAATACATTTGTTAATAAATGCCCTACACAGATTAAATATTGTTAATTATCAAACAAGAAAGCTTCAATCTTTTATTTTCATTTTTACAAATAAATGCCATCCCTTTGTCTTCAGAGAAGTGCCCAGTACCTGTATAATGAGTTACCTGTGAGATTAGCACATAGGATAGAGGCATTCAGGAATCTCCCTTTCATTGTCGGATGTAACTCAACAATTTTAAAAGTGGTGAGTAAAAACACATGGAAATATCCCTACCTGTTTAATTGTCTACTTTGAGATAAAGAAGTTGTGTATATATGTTAAGTGATTACAATGTCACTACCTGGTCTTTATACTCAAATCATTGGGTGCTTATCTTATAATGTGGAGATTCTAATAAGATTGAACTTAGATATTCTGTGAGAATTCCTTTTAAGTGGAACTGTGTGCAGACTTATTCTCTGTAGACTGTGTCTTTGTATGTGTCATCTTTCCTGATACATCTGTGTGTATACTTATTCTCTGTAGACTGTGTCTTTGTATGTGTCATCTTTCCTGATACATCTGTGTGTATACTTATTCTCCGTAGACTGTGTCTTTGTATGTGTCATCTTTCCTGATAGGTCTGTGTATAGACTTATTCTCTGTAGACTGTGTCTTTGTATGTGTCATCTTTCCTGATACATCTGTGTGTATTATTCTCTATTCTCCGTAGTGTGTACTGTGTCTTTGTATGTGTCATCTTTCCTGATACATCTGTGTGTATACTTATTCTCCGTAGACTGTGTCTTTGTATGTGTCATCTTTCCTGATACATCTGTGTGTATACTTATTCTATATAGACTGTGTCTTTGTATGTGTCATCTTTCCTGATACATCTGTGTGTATACTTATTCTCCGTAGACTGTGTCTTTGTATGTGTCATCTTTCCTGATAGGTCTGTGTGTATACTTATTCTCTGTAGACTGTGTCTTTGTATGTGTCATCTTTCCTGATACATCTGTGTGTATACTTATTCTCTGTAGACTGTGTCTTTGTATGTGTCATCTTTCCTGATACATCTGTGTGTATACTTATTCTCTGTAGACTGTGTCTTTGTATGTGTCATCTTTCCTGATACATCTGTGTGTAGACTTATTCTCTGTAGACTGTGTTTTTGTATGTGTCATCTTTCCTGATACATCTGTGTGTATACTTATTCTCTGTAGACTGTGTCTTTGTATGTGTCATCTTTCCTGATACATCTGTGTGTAGACTTATTCTATATAGACTGTGTCTTTGTATGTGTCATCTTTCCTGATACATCTGTGTGTATACTTATTCTATATAGACTGTGTCTTTGTATGTGTCATCTTTCCTGATAGGTCTGTGTGTAGACTTATTCTCTGTAGACTGTGTCTTTGTATGTGTCATCTTTCCTGATACATCTGTGTGTATACTTATTCTATATAGACTGTGTCTTTGTATGTGTCATCTTTCCTGATACATCTGTGTGTATACTTATTCTCTGTAGACTGTGTCTTTGTATGTGTCATCTTTCCTGATAGGTCTGTGTGTAGACTTATTCTCTGTAGACTGTGTCTTTGTATGTGTCATCTTTCCTGATAGGTCTGTGTGTAGACTTATTCTCTGTAGACTGTGTTTTTGTATGTGTCATCTTTCCTGATACATCTGTGTGTAGACTTATTCTCTGTAGACTGTGTCTTTGTATGTGTCATCTTTCCTGATAGGTCTGTGTGTATACTTATTCTCTGTAGACTGTGTCTTTGTATGTGTCATCTTTCCTGATAGGTCTGTGTATAGACTTATTCTCTGTAGACTGTGTCTTTGTATGTGTCATCTTTCCTGATAGGTCTGTGTGTATGCTTATTCTGTATAGACTGGTAAGAAATGCTTCTCTATTTGAAGATGTGTTGTATTTACTTTTTCTGTTCCAGCATGAGATGTATATAAGGGCTTTCCACACCCTGTACGATCATGAAAAGGTAAGAATCTTATAAACATTGCTACCAAGTTAAATCTCCTGTATGTAACTGTTCTGATGGAAACCTGAATGCCTGTTAAAATGGCTTGATACATTCTGATATGGTCTGTCCATTCGTAAACCCTTATATATATTTACTTTTTCTGTATGGTATTAAGTCTTTCCACACCCTGTACCATGAAAAGGTAAGAATCTTATAAACATTGCTATACCCTGATGTATTTTGGTATGGTATTGTCTGGCTGTCCATATACCCTGATGTATTTTGGTATGGTATTGTGTGGCCGTCCGTATACCCTGATGTATTTTGGTATGGTATTGTCTGGCTGTCCGTATACCCTGATGTATTTTGGTATGGTATTGTCTGGCTGTCCGTATACCCTGATGTATTTTGGTATGGTATTGTGTGGCCATCCGTATACCCTGATGTATTTTGGTATGGTATTGTGTGGCCGTCCGTATACCCTGATGTATTTTGGTATGGTATTGTCTGGCCGTCCGTATACCCTGATGTATTTTGGTATGGTATTGTCTATCCACCAGCTGCCTAGTTCTAACTTGTGTTATGTCTTTAAATCTTCTTCTACAGAAAAAGAAATCTCAGAAACAAATTGGCTAACACAGGTGACATCTTGGTTTCTGACAATGAACATTTGTTATCACTAGATCTTGAGAAATGCCTTAAATGTCATCTGTAGGCTCCCCTTGGTCTCTTGTTATGCTGAATTTATTTTGTGACTGCTCAGAAAAAGAACATGGTTTACAGGTAACCGTCTTGTATTTGTTAGTTAAAGATAAGTTTTATTATCCTTATTTCTGAAGGGAATAATCAAATTTCATGTAATTAAGACAAAAATAGAGAAAGGAATAGAAAATAAGGAAAATGTTCCAACTTGACCTTGCTATGTCAGTTTTAAGCTGAATTCTTTCTAACTTGGTGGTATAATAGCATGATGCTGTGTTGTCTCCCATGTTGTATTTCTCTATAGCTAGCGATGCATTAATTATCTTGTTTGGCCTCTCAGATCTATTGATAATATCAACTCTCAGTATCAGTAAAATATATCAAAACACTTATGGTATCACAGTTGTAACTGTCTCACTCTAGTTTTATACTTGTATCAAAAATCTTAAACACGATAATATCAAGAGGGGCTTATATTGTTCTGTTGTAATTGCAAAAAATCTTATTAAGTTGTTTTAGTAAATTGATCAGATTCAGATCTTTTGAACATGTTGAACTAAATCTGCTAATCCATTACTATCTCTATTGTGAAAGGTGAAAGACATGGAGTCAGAACAGAAATACTCTGATACTTTAGAGAGGCTGCTGGATCAGCACAAAGATGTCATCACACTGCTGGCACAGGGCTTTTCTGAAAGTAGGAAACACATAAAGGTAAGTAATACAGTGTGAGAGCTGACAGACCTTTATTTAAATACTGGTACAGAGAGGTCAACTGTACAAATGGAAGCACAGACAGGACAGTGAGATAAATGATATAGTATAGGAGCTGACCGTCCTTCAGTTGATGCACAGACAGGTCGATGAGTACATGTACATTACTTAATATATACTTAAAAACATCAGCTAATACATGTTTGGTTATCATAGAGAGTCAGTTATGTAACTTAGATACTAAAGGTTACTGCACATGTCAGTACATATATATCTGTTGTTTCTGATCCTTTGTAGGAATATCACTTAAAATATTGGGGGTCCCTATTTACATGTAGTATTCTTGGTGATCTCACTAACTCTTCAAGTCATCATTTTTTCTTTTTTTCTTTTTCAAGAGAGGATAAAATATAAGAAGGTTTGCCCGAGGCTCGTATTGTTTGTCTTAAGACTTTACTTGAGAAAAATGCTCATTTGTTCAATCCATGTCATTATACATTATGTACGATGTTCAAGGGGAAATAACTCTGATTACAGTTTGATGAAATAATAAGTATATGATGTCTGATTTTATGAGTGGCCCCTTAAGTCTTATCTAGTGACAATGCCCCTACAGGTTTTCTAGTAATCACTTGTTATTTTTATTGGGGTCACTACATCAAGGTCATTAGGATTATAGCAGTGCACTTTCTGATTAGCAGAAAAGTAGTCAGAGATCATGGGTAGAAGCTTATGCTGTGTGAATATTACTCCTAGCTTGAGTATGTACAGTATAAGTGTTATTTAGGGTTTGTGAAGTTTCCTGCCTGTGAGGTCAGTTTAAGTTTTTTGTGAAGATTAACAAAAAGTATTTTTTTCCTATATCTTTTTCATTAAACATGTGAGATTGTTGTGGATTTACTGGAGATCTGCTCAGATTGATACCTTAATTTTTCCATGATTGCAGTCATTTTACCCCAGATCTAAAACAAACTATATTCAGTTAGAAATGTAGCATTGACTGTTCAGTGTTAAACGTGACGGAATACAATGATCTTTTTCATCAATAATGAATTGTTTACTGACATTTTAGGAGGAACAGATAATTCAAGCATTCTTGGACAGAACATTGAAGTCACGACTGGGAATACGTGTTCTAGCCCAGCATCACCTGGCAATGCACAAAGAGCAGGTAATTAGTCCAACACTATGTATGTAGTATGATTCTAAAGTTTTACTTTAGATTAAGGTGCCTTCATACAAACATATCATGTTTCAAGTACTCCAGGTGGATTAAAAGAAATAAATCCTGTTATGCTTTTCAACTTAAAATTCTGGATACTAGGAGAGATCTACACTGTATGAGTACTGGAATCAGCCAATAAATCTACAATACCTCCTCTGTCTCTTTTTTTCTGTCTTATTTAGTATTATTGAAGGTATCTGTCAGGCAGCCATCTTTGATTTTGGAAGTAAAAGTTTGTTACTGCTATTTCTTGGAAAGTACTGGATGGATTTTTCTCAAATTTCATATGCAGTTTCCCCTTAGTCTCTAGTTGTGCAATGTACCTTTTTTGGACTGATTCGAATTCAAGATGGCAGACAGGTGGCCATCTTGGATTTTGGAAGTAAAAGTTTGTTACTGCTATTTCTTGGAAAGTACTGGATGGATCTTTCTCAAATTTCATATGCAGTTTCCCCTTAGTCTCTAGTTGTGCATTGTACCTTTTTTGGACTGATTCGAATTCAAGATGGCAGACAGGTGGCCATCTTGGATTTTGGAAGTAAAAGTTTGTTACTGCTATTTCTTGGAAAGTACTGGATGGATCTTTCTCAAATTTCATATGCAGGTTCCCTTTGGTTCCAAGTTGTGCATTATACCTTTTTGGACTGATCCGAAATCAAGATGGCTGACAGGCAGCCATCTTGGATTTTGAGAGTAAAAAATACTGGATGGATCTTTCTTGTTACTGCTATATCTGAGGAAGTACTGGATGGATCCTTCTGATATTTCATAGATATTGGTTTCCCTTGGTCCCTAGTTGTGCATTGTACCTTTTTTGGACTGATTTGAAATCAAGGTGGCCCACAGGCAGCCATCTTGGATGTCGACAGTAATACAGCACAAGCATATTGTCCATTATCCACCTGTAACTGACTGCTATCTAATAATACTTTGGGATTTTTTTCAAATGATATTTGCTAATAGGTGCTTAATAAAAATATCTTGTGCCATCATTGAGTACATTCAATGAAGACCAGTTCATGAACATTTACAACACCTGTAACAAACAAAAAAAAATAAACAAACTTCAAGAACTGAAAACAGATCCTCAAATGATGGGCGCCAAGATCCCTCTGGGATCTCTTGTCATAACCTATATCTGTTGTAAATCCATCTTTCCTGATTCCAGCCAAACCTTACCATTTCTTTTTTCCTGTTTTTAGCCAAACCATGTGGGAATCATCGACGTATGCTTCAGTCCACGCACTCTACTTGAAAATAGTGCAGAGTTTTTAAGGTAAAAACACTTGTGACAACAGAGTTAAAGTATAAAGGTATGAAGTTTAAATTTCAAAATAAAATGAGATGTTTGTCAAGTTTTTACCTGCCTTTTCTCACTTTTTCATATTTTCACATTGCTGCATATTTCTAATAATTTACTATACATGAAACCTGCTAGATATTCTCAATATGATTTCATTGAAAGTCTAAATGATGTCACACTGTAACTGGCACTGTGGTTGTCAGAATACACAGAATTTTACCTGTAGCACAAGCATGGTTTGTCAGTACTGTCTGATTTACTTCAATATTACATTTAAATAGTGTGTGTAACTGTTTTGTTAAGTGATTTTATTTATAATAATTAGTAAGTTTATGTACAAAATTGAACTAAATTTCTTTATTTTCATGGGAGTTTGGAACTACTTTCCGTTTAGGTTAGTTATTTGGGCACACAATATCTGGCCTAATTCAGCATAGTGTCATTGTCAGGTAAATACAGGTAAATACAGGTAAACTGTTCAAGTTTCAATCTTTGTAAAAGGATAAATAGAATACATAGTGATCAATGTCATAAAGCTGCATTTAGGTTCAGGACTGACAGAAAAAATGGTCTGCCAATTTTGCCTTTTTCACCTTTGCCAAAGTGATATCACAAGACACTAACTATATATAGTCTGTATAGATTACAAATAGAATTATACACATCTCATTATTTCAACTGTAAGTGATAAATACAGAAACCTTTAAAGAAGGAAAGTGATGTTGGATATTATTTTAGCGTATTGTAATGTATGACTATGGAAATGTACTGAAATGAGACATGATTGTCATAAACATCAAATATATTGCAATGGACACCTGACATATATATATATATTTTAGGATAAATCCACTACTTCAGTAAGTAGTCCAATAATTAAGAAATACTTTGATGTACATGATATAGAAAACTTTTTGCAGTAGAAATTTTCTGCTGCCCAGGAGGTACATGTATGTTAACTGATAACATTCAGATCTGAAGTCTTATCCTAGTACACACAACATTACAAGCTGACTGGTGCATGGTAGATCAACACAGTTTATTTTCCCTATATTGTTTACTAAAACGAATTCTGTGATAGATTTATAGGTTTACTTGTATGTCTGCCAATTTGGGTTCGTATAGACACTTTGGACAATATGACCACAGTGTAAATATAGGTACGTTAGGTATATAATATATATATATATAGATATAGTGGTGCCAAAACCTCTATCATCACCCTCCCCATAACCTTATACAGTGATATGACTAGTGACACGTTCCTTGTGGAAATTTTCTGTATCCCCTCTTATCCTGTAGATTTCCTTGTCAATCCTATTTCGTTTTGTGATTGACCTGACATCGCTGACATTTTCCGAGGCTCAGGACTCTGCCGTCTCCATCAACATGTTGGTCCTTGTATTTGGTTGTACGTGCTGTTTGTACAAAAAATTTAAGTAGGGCTTAAACCAGACAGATCCTTCTGTTGTTACATGTATAATGTGCTGACTTATCTTGAACTAGTAATGGCCTAATATGTTTGGTGTATATCAATGATAAGATTTTCTTATCCAAACTTGTCTGACTGCTCTTATTGCCAGGAAACCACTCTATGGTTTTGTACCGAAATAATTAGAATCAAAGAAAGGTACAATAGAAACACAATACAAATCCTTTTTATTGGACATACATTGTATGCAGGGTAAAGTGGATATTTGTATAATTTCATTTCACATGATCGTCTTACCATTGTACTATCACATAAATGTGTGGTGAATTTTGCAGAAATCCCTCAAATATGATCTGACACTGAAGGACTGGTATTGACGTGATGATGCAATTGACCAGAACTTGTATCAGACAGTCCTGATTGATTCTGTCTCATTGTATTAGTTAATGCTAGTTTGAAAATGGTTAATGGGTTCATGTGGTGTAAGGGAGATAACTGTTTCAAGTTAATATTTTTCATTTTGTTTTGATAAAGAATTCATATGAGTTGAAAGCATCCTTAATTACACAGTTACTAAAAAGATATTTATAGTGAGAACTCCAAAATCTGTCCTTGTTAACCACCTACACTTAAATAAGAAACAACTTATGAGAAAAGTGTTTGAATCAACCTTTTGTGTTGACAGAACATTGTGTAAGGACAGATATGGATGTGCCCCTAATGTACAGCTGCAGGGCCACATGTCAGTCAAGTTTCCTTACATGCCCCAACCAGTGGAATATATTGTAGGGGAGGTGATGAAAAATGCAATGAGGTATGTAGACTGTATTGTCTGTCATTGACAAATTGCCTGTGTATTTTATTTCAATCTGTTTTATCTGCTATGAGTTGCTCTAATGGTAAATCTAGATTTTTAGAGTTTTATCTGAAAACTTCTGTATACATAATTTGACTCAAAATGATGGATGATAAAAGAGTTTGACTCCAAGTTTAAGAGCATAAAAATAAATTGACTGGAAGTTTTAAATTATGAACACAGATTGACTTAAAATGTTGGATAATGATGAAGTTTGACTCCATGCTTTTGATCATAAACAAATTTGACTCTGAGCTTTAGATCCTGAACAGAGTTTGAGTCTGAGAGTTGGATGATAAAAGAGTTTGACTTCAAGCTTTTAGATCATAAAAGAAACTGGCTTAAAGTTTTAGGTCATGAACAGAGCTTGTGTGAAAAATTTAGTTTTGTTATTTAGAAGTCGTTACTTGTATTACTTAAATCATTTGTCATGTACAGTGATGGATATTTTGTTCAGAAATGGTCAATGCATTTCAAGTGCTTGTTTCATTTAAATGTACTACAAGAAACACATTATATATAAGATGTCCCAGACATTAAACATTTAATCAACAATGTCCATATATCAGCAGTGTATCACTTTTAACAGGGATTTGTAAAGTTTTTGGCTGTTCAAAATGAAGACCAAGTACAAATATACCCTGTAGTAAATGTCCTGAAATAGTGCAATATTCCCTGTAGTAAATGTCCTGAAATAATGCCGTATACCCTGTAGTAAATGTCCTGAAATAATGCAATGTACCCTGTAGTAAATGTCCTGAAATAATGCAATATATCCTGTAGTAAATGTCCAGAAATAGTGCATTATATCCTGTAGTAAATGTATATAAGTAAATCTATATATATCCATGAAATCAGGTGTCCACATAGAACAAGATGTAAACAATTAAGCCAAACAATAATAAAGGATTTTGTAATTTGTTCATATGTGTCAATATGAAGATTAACTTATCTTTTCTTTAGAGCGAATGTGGAGAATAACCTACGGAACTACAGTAATATACCAGACATCGCTGTTACATTAGCCAACAATAATACAGACTTCATCATCAAGTAAGTATAGTAACAAAATACAGTTTTCACCATCATCATCATCAACAAAACACAGTCTTCGTCGTAAACAAAAACAGTCTTCATCATCAACACAACACAGACTTCATCATCAACACAACAGTGTCTTCATCATCAAAAAAACACAGTCTTCGTCGTCAACAAAAACAGACTTCATCATCAAGTAAGTATAGTAACAAAATACAGTTTTCACCATAGATAAAAGGCAGTCTTCATCATCAACAAAACACAGTCTTCTTCATCAACAAAAACAGTCTTCATCATCAACACAACATAGACTTCATCATCAACACAACACAGACTTCATCATCAACACAACAGTGTCTTCATCATCAACAAAACACAGTCTTCGTCATCAACAAAACACAGACTTCATCATCAACACAACACAGACTTCATCATCAATACAACACAGACTTTATCATCAACACAACAGAGTCTTCATCATCAACAAAACACAGTCTTCATCATAAAAAGTCAGTCTTCATCATCAACACAACACAGACTTAATCATCAACAAAACACAGACTTCATCATCAACACAATACAGACTTCATCATCAACACAACACAGACTTCATCATTAACCAACACAGTCTTCATCATCAACACAACACAGACTTCATCATCAACACAACACAGACTTCATCATCAATACAACACAGACTTTATCATCAACACAACAGAGTCTTCATCATCAACAAAACACAGTCTTCATCATAAAAAGTCAGTCTTCATCATCAACACAACACAGACTTCATCATCAACACAGCAAAGACTTCATCATCAACAAAACACAGACTTCATCATCAACACAGCACAGTCTTCGTCGTCAACAAAAACAGTCTTCATCATCAACACAACACAGACTTCATCAACACAGCAAAGACTTCATCATCAACAAAACACAGACTTCATCATCAACACAGCACAGTCTTCGTCGTCAACAAAAACAGTCTTCATCATCAACACAACACAGACTTCATCATGAACAAAACACAGTCTTCATCATCAACACAACACAAACTTCATCATCAGATAAATACAGCAACCCAACACAGACGGGATCGTTAACAAAAACAGACTTCATCATCAACACAACACAGACTTCATCATTAACCAATACAGACTTCATCATCAACACAACACAGACTTCATCATCAACACAACACAGACTTCATCATCAACACAACACAGACTTCATCATCAACACAACAAAGACTTCATCATCAACACAACATAGACTTCATCATCAACACAACATAGACTTCATCATCAACACAACACAGTCTTCATCATTAACCAATACAGACTTCATCATCAACACAACAGTGTCTTCATCATTAACCAATACAGACTTCATCATCAACACAACACAGACTTCATCATCAACACAACATAGACTTCATCATCAACACAACATAGACTTCATCATTAACCAATACAGACTTCATCATCAACACAACACAGACTTCATCATTAACCAATACAGACTTCATCATCAACACAACACAGACTTCATCATTAACCAATACAGACTTCATCATCAACACAACACAGACTTCATCATTAACCAATACAGACTTCATCATCAACACAACACAGACTTCATCATTAACCAATACAGACTTCATCATCAACACAACAGTGTCTTCATCACCATCAACAAAACACAGTCTTCGTCATCAACAAAACACAGACTTCATCATCAACACAACACAGACTTCATCATCAACACAATGCAGTCTTCATCATCAACACAACACAGACTTCATCATTAACCAATACAGACTTCATCATCAACACAACACAGACTTCATCATCAACACAACACAGACTTCATCATCAACACAACATAGTCTTCATCATCAACACAACACAGTCTTCATCATCAACACAACACAGACTTCATCATTAACCAATACAGACTTCATCATCAACACAACACAGACTTCATCATTAACCAATACAGACTTCATCATCAACACAACAGTGTCTTCATCACCATCAACAAAACACAGTCTTCGTCATCAACAAAACACAGACTTCATCATCAACACAACACAGACTTCATCATCAACACAATGCAGTCTTCATCATCAACAAAACACAGTCTTCATCATTAACCAATACAGACTTCATCATCAACACAACACAGACTTCATCATCAACAAAACAAAGACTTCATCATTAACCAATACAGACTTCATCATCAACACAACACAGACTTCATCATCAACACAACACAGACTTCATCATTAACCAATACAGACTTCATCATCAACACAACACAGACTTCATCATTAACCAATACAGTCTTCATCATCAACACAACACAGACTTCATCATCAACAAAACAAAGACTTCATCATTAACACAACAGTGTCTTCATCACCATCAACAAAACACAGTCTTCGTCATCAACAAAACACAGACTTCATCATCAACACAACACAGACTTCATCATCAACACAATGCAGTCTTCATCATCAACAAAACACAATCGTCAACAAAAACAGACTTCATCAACACAACACAGACTTCATCATCAACCAATACAGACTTCATCATCAACACAACAGTGTCTTCACCATCAACAAAACACAGTCTTCATCATCAACAAAACACAGTCTTTGTCGTCAATAAAAACAGACTTCATCAACACAACACAGACTTCATCATCAACCAATACAGACTTCATCATCAACACAACAGTGTCTTCACCATCAACAAAACACAGTCTTTGTCGTCAACAAAAACAGACTTCATCAACACAACACAGACTTCATCATCAACCAATACAGACTTCATCATCAACACAACAGTGTCTTCACCATCAACAAAACACAGACTTCATCATCAACACAATGCAGTCTTCATCATCAACAAAACACAATCGTCAACAAAAACAGACTTCATCAACACAACACAGACTTCATCATCAACCAATACAGACTTCATCATCAACACAACAGTGTCTTCACCATCAACAAAACACAGTCTTCATCATCAACAAAACACAGTCTTTGTCGTCAATAAAAACAGACTTCATCAACACAACACAGACTTCATCATCAACCAATACAGACTTCATCATCAACACAACAGTGTCTTCACCATCAACAAAACACAGTCTTTGTCGTCAACAAAAACAGACTTCATCAACACAACACAGACTTCATCATCAACCAATACAGACTTCATCATCAACACAACAGTGTCTTCACCATCAACAAAACACAGTCTTCATCATAAAAAACAGACTTCATCATCAACACAGCACAGTCTTCGTCGTCAGCAAAAACAGTCTTCATCATCAACACAACACCGACTTCATCATCAGATAAATACAGCAACCAAACACAGACGTGATCGTTAACAAAACAAAAGTCTTCATCATCATCAAAACACAGTCATTGTCGTCAACTAAAAAACGGACTTCATCATCAACACAACACAGACTTCATCATCAACCAATACAGACTTCATCATCAACACAACAGTTTCTTCATCATCAACAAAACACAGTCTTCATCATAAAAAACAGTCTTCATCATCAACAAAACACAGTCTTTGTCGTCAACAAAAACAGTCTTCATCATCAACACAACACAGACTTCATCATCAACACAACACAGACTTCATCATCAACCAATACAGACTTCATCATCAACACAACACAGTCTTCGTCATCAACAAAAACAGTCTTCATCATCAACACAATACAGTCTTCACCGTCAACAAAACACAGTCTTCGTCGTCAACAAAAACAGTCTTCATCATCAACACAACACAGTCTTCATCATCAACAAAACACAATCTTCATCATAAAAAATAGTCTTTATCATCAACACAACACAGACGTTATTATCAACAAAACACAGACTTCATCATCAACACAATTCAGACTTCATCATTAACACAACACAGACTTCATCATCAACACAACACAGTCTTCATCATCAACACAACACAGTCTTCATCATCAACAAAACACAGTCTTCGTCGTCAAAAAAAACAGTCTTCATCATCAACACAACACAGTCTTCGTCTTCAACAAAAACAGTCTTCATCATCAACACAACACAGACTTCATCATCAGATAATCACAGCAACCTAACACAAACGTGATCGTTAACAAAACAAATGTCTTCATCATCAAGTAAGTTAAGCAACATATCACTTCATCATCAACACAACATAGACTTCATCATCAACACAACACAGTCTTCATCATCAACAAAACACAATCTTCATCATAAAAAATAGTCTTTATCATCAACACAACACAGACGTTATTATCAACAAAACACAGACTTCATCATCAACACAATTCAGACTTCATCATTAACACAACACAGACTTCATCATCAACACAACACAGTCTTCATCATCAACACAACACAGTCTTCATCATCAACAAAACACAGTCTTCGTCGTAAAAAAAAAACAGTCTTCATCATCAACACAACACAGTCTTCGTCTTCAACAAAAACAGTCTTCATCATCAACACAACACAGACTTCATCATCAGATAATCACAGCAACCTAACACAAACGTGATCGTTAACAAAACAAATGTCTTCATCATCAAGTAAGTTAAGCAACATATCACAGACTTTAATGTCAACAAAACACAAGACTTCATCATTAATTAAGTACCAATGTGTCCCCATATCATCATATACAGTTCAGCCCCGAATGAATTGTACAGTTACATGTCAGTAAACTGCTGACAACTTGATATATCAGTGAAAAAACACTTTATAACAACCTTTCATTACTTCACTAAATCGTTTTACCCTAGTATCTATTTTACATATTTTAGAAACTTCTTTAGGTTATCTTCAGATGTTTGTCAATATTTACTTGTCTGGAGAGGTGTGTCTACCGGTGTTGGTTACTGTTCTATAACAGTGATGTCTTAAGTATAAGACAAATATTTACATCAGTATTAAAGATCAACATGTCTTCACCTTTGATCACTTCAGGTGGTATATAAATATACTAATATTTATATAAACATAATGTGTATTGTCTGTCACTTCAATACACTGAACTGCCCTGATCACTGCTGACAGAATGATCCCTGACACAGTATTAGAATACAGATCTACTGGTTTTATGTCCTTACATGTTGATGAGAAACTGATTTGGTATGTTTGTAAGATATTATAGTCATTTTCTTTGTTTCATGAAAATGCTCCTTTTGTTAACTATAGACATATCATTGTTGTGCTTGTTTCATGTTATCAATATCTTATGTTTTTAAATCTAAGAAAATTGAAAATTCCTGGCATCATATGATGCAGGTTAATTAAGTATATTTATATATAGTAGAGAAGTTGTGTGGCTGTGGATTTTAAGAGCAGAGACATACAATTAGAGTATCATGGTTAACTTTATTTTGTGTTACGTTTCCTGTTACAATTGTAATATTGTTTTATATCAATTATTAAGTATTGTACTAAAGGTGTATGTGTCAACTTGTTTTCCAGTCCTCACATCTGTGATATGGAATATGTAAATGTGTAGCTCCTGGATTACTTTCGTTCTTACATACATCAGAATTGTTTGATAGGTAGGTTATCCATAGTCTTTTGTACCTCGCTAGCATAAACATGTAAACCGTTGATAAACCTTGGACTCGAGATGATGATGATCCTTTCTGGATGGTCCATCCTAAAATACCAACGCTACAGCCACAGTAGTTCCTCATCACTTTTAACTCTTATGTACATTTGTGTATTAAAATCTCTCATGTTGCATATAAAAGCAACATACTGATATCTAGATTATAAGGATATATCACAGGTGTCCAGTTATATGCCATTGGTGCTATGCATTTCAAATTGTCCATGTGTTGCCAGCTTCTCTCACGCAATGTTTTACCAATAATTAACTATACTGAAATGATGCTATATTTACCTTAATTTAAACATCAAAGTTTTTGTTCGGCTTGAAATTTTGACCCCATATTATTAACATTTTAAATCCTTTTTAGGGAGTACAAGTCTATCATTGAACAGTAATGGTAGTAACACATTATTTATACAAATGTACATATGTAATTTCGCTTGTTTTGTTTTGTGTGTGTAAACAAGGTGTTCACTTAATTGTCTCTGAAAACATTTGAACACTAGGAAACGAGTGCATAACCCCTTCTAATGTGCTGTAATTCGTGGACTATCTGCCTTCGTTAATTGAGGTTACTATATAGTACTGTAAAATTAGAAGTAATTATGTTAATACTATAACACCAGTACCTGACATTTCTCCATTGTATATAACCAGCAAAGAATATACAAACTTAACAATCAGTTATAATGGTATTGAATGTTTATTTAACCTTTCACCTGTAACAAATACTTAATATGACATGAAATGAATTATTAATATTTCTAATCTAAATCCGGCCAATAGCTTAATCTATGTTAATCCCTGCCCACTACAGAGAAATGTTTATCCAGTAATGGCTGCACCGTCAGTAGTGGGGACCTGGACGAATTCTAGATTTGGATCTTTTTAAAAAGGAATGTAACAAACAAATGCTCTTACCTGACTTGTTTTAAAATAATTAGTAGATATTGTTACACAAATTCGATGAATATGGTGTCTTAAGCTTTTCATTTATTCAACATTCGTCATCTTTTGGAGGAAAATAAAGCAAATATACTTACATTATATGTTAACTACAATTGTGTGAAACATGTCTATCGACGACCGCTGACATTAAGTTATTCTTCCTGAACCCTTATTTACAAAGCTCTCTAAATACTATTAAAAGTAAAAAGAATGCCTTGAAATTTCCATGATCATTATTTTCTGTAATCATTTGTTTATATGGTATTATAAAATCCTAATGTATTTTAATCTGGTGATTTTTATGATATTCTAATATTTCATGGAATTATTGGCAACTGATCGTGATAAGCGAACATTAAACACCACATTGTATACATACTGATATTAGATGGTTTACAAGATGTGTACATGGTACGTGAAGACAATGCACTATTTAACCCAACAGTTGACTATTTCATTAGTCACGTTGTTGACCTCGGGAACTGAAGAAAATCTTCAGATTGGGGTTTTTTGTCCACTTGGAAACGAAAGAAAGTATGAATTTCCGAAATATTATTACAAATTGTGTTATGATAAAGACCTGAATGAAATCAATGGATATCAGTGAAGTCGAATCGGAGTTCAATTTCCACTGTAATGTCAACAGCAGTTTTTGGAATCGTTAGTAAATGCTTTATACAACTAAAACATACTGGTGTCGAGCTGTGGACAATATATCCAGTGTTTTCCCTCGTTGAGAATAACACAGTTGTGCGCGATATACACCCCAGATTCTAGCCAGCCTATAGATGATGTATGACACTAGCATATCTTCATGGAAATACAAACTTAACACAATCACCTTTTGGAATGCAAGCTTCCCATAGAAGAGTTTTGTCTGATGGGAGGAAGAGGATTTTGACGTGGAGTCTCCTTAACGCGACTCGTGTTTATTCGATAGTCTGAGAAAAAATCTGCTTCGTTCTCCATCTTCTCTCTCGTGTAATCTAATTGGTTGTAATTCACCATATCATATTTTTGTTTGTCGTGTCCGGACTCTTTTTTCATTTTCCCAATTTTAGGCAGTACTGGGTACTTGCGTTCCCGGATACCACTCTGCACTCGCGACCATTCCTCGAGGGGTTCTATGATATCTCGCAAGTTCAAATTGACTGGTGTCGGAACAGCCATTTGGCGCGAGGTATCCATGATAGGGATTCTGTTATTGTCATTATCAATATGATTTATGGGCAGATTCATAGCAGTGCTTGGGAGTTCCACACTACACACACTAGACTTGTCATCCATTTCATCATGTTCGTCTTCACCCGAGTCCATATGTAGTGATATATTTGTGTTTGTAGTCTCGGCCGATAAATGTATTGAAGGTGCATCTATATGAACGGATCTTCGAGACGAATTATTGACGTTGTCCAGTTTCATGAAGTCTCCATTGTCCCGGATTCTGTCTGCATCCGTCCCATTTTCCTGGTATCCGGAATCTTTGCTTGTTTCACTCATAGTGTTGGAAATATGCATGCTTGTTATTTTGAAGCTCATGTGAGTTATCACACTCCCAAAATCGTCCGTTTTGTTCTAGTCATCAATACCACACTAGAATCAATACAGTAATTCTAATTTTACAGTTTCAGACACTTTACTGGGAGCTTACATTCTCCTTGAGAGACGTACTGAAATGAACTCACATCTGATGCATTTTTATCAAGCACATTTCACTATTATTCCACCGGTATTACCAATATTGTTTTAGCTCTGGATCTTCTATTGAATTCCCTGAATGGAAGAAAACGTTTGTCGACTGACAATTCCTGTTATATTAATATTTCCCAGTGGTCACTTGGAACGATACAGTATCCCGGCACTTGCTAGTATCTATGACACGGCTGTTGATTAGCTCGGCTATTTGTAACTCTGTAACGAGCTTTCTAATTATACAGACAGAATGACACTTTCACTTGTTACAACTGTTATCGTACGAAGGGCACCGATTGTTTTCCAAATCTCCGTGAATACAAACAGAATTGTGGTAGGTATTCCAAATACTCCAAATTAGGAACATTGTGCACGTAGTTGAGACGGTCCTAAGGATTCCCTGAAGACAGATTAAGTATCCTCTTCATAATTAGGGTCAATACTTGCCAATCATTCCACAGCTCTTAGGTGTCAGATTTCTTCACCTGATAAACCGTGCTTGTTTTGCAACAATGAGTTATATATACCTGTATAGCACCACTCGGTGTTTTAAGTGTATACACGTAGGACGCACAGCCACAATGCAAACATCACATCAAAGACATAACTTGTGTTTGTTGTTGTGTATTGGGCGAGCACTCCAGCGTATTCTTCTTTCCTTGTTTAATTGCTTCTGTTTTCTTTGTTTACACCATTGACTCATGACAATGAAGCACTGACAAAGCCACTGGCTGTCGACATAGGATCCATCAATATTTGTCAAACCACATAATAGGTGCTGATATTGATTCCAATCTACAAACAAAGAAATATATAGAATTATTAATCTACCTATACCATTGTTTCATGGTAATACGTTAATACATCCAGAAAGGTTTGATTCATGTTGCTATGTCCCACGCGTACAGATTGCACTACTTGTGTACAGTTTGACATTGTCGTACATACATATTCTGAAAGACGTTTTTCATTATTTGTAATTCTTTTTCGGACTATGCAACTGCATCCACCGATATCAGATCTATCATAAATATACATAGACAAGACTGACATCATGTATAAGACTAATAGGTTTAATTAAAGTATAACTACTTTTGTCACTAATGTAATTCCATACAACACCTTCAGTTACCTTCACACAATAGGAACCAGTAGCTTTATTATGTTGATTTATTCTTACATAATGATTATAAAAAAATATTTGTCTTGTGTTATCAATGATGACATCGTAAATTTATAAAAAAAAACAACGAATAATATTTGTGGTTATTGATTAGTACAAATCAACCTCGAGAGTACCCGTGCCATACGCCACAAGAACAAGTTTCACTGAACAGAAATGTGCCTTACACCGCAATCTGACGAATCACGTTTCGTTTGTACTTGTAACGAGTTTTCAGGTACAAAACCACGATTAATTACGAATACCTCACTGAACTTGTACACATGTTACCTTTGCATTCATGGCATTTTGAATGTAGGGAGATTTGACTATCGATTATTGTAAGGTATATAACGTCGAAGGTTCTTTTTTATCCCGCGATGAATATTGATGAGATATTGTTTTTTAAGGCATAAATCATTTCGATTTATCTTGAAAAGGTAAATTCGGTTGTAACACTATGTAAGATATACACGTATTGGCCTGTTCACACAAACATGGGAGGGTGCCTAACAAGATAGCATGTATAAAGCATATAGATCATAATCAGTTAATGACAAACGTGTACACACCATGTTGTGAATCTATCTTCCATGCCTTGTGATAATAATTGAATATCGATTTTTAACAGATATTCGTTTCGTTCTATGGATGTGTTCGCCTTCCTTTAAATACCATGTTTGTAAGCTACTCTATCTATAAAGGTAATAGTTGGGTATGTATGTACCCATTCTGTACTTATTTATTTATGTACTGTCATTAGTGGTTATCAATATCTAGTCAGTTGATCTGTCCAGTCTATAACCACATATAGATATACCTTGTGTCTTAGTCATTACCAACATGATTACAGTGGGAATTGTGTCAACTGAATCTGTACCACAGAACACGGTGACAACACCTCTGTTGATTGGCATTAAATACAGGGTTGACTGTTGACTGTTCAGAAATATTCTGATAACAGGTGTCTCTATTGATCTCCCGAATGTGATTGTAGTTTAAGTGGTAACATATATATACACTACCTTGTAATGTAGGCTTGATTGATATATATGTTTGATTACATTATTTAAAGCAAAATACTTGTTCAGTGTACACTCAACCCTACTAACACTCGGAATAACATGGGTCACACACCTGCTGCAGGCAGTCATTACCAAACTATTCAGAAAGTCTTTTAAACTTGCATAGCGTATAGATACATGAAGCCGATCAATAAACCAGATACTTCTGTATTCTGTGTTAGATATTAAGTTGGACGTGTCAGTGTCGCTGGTGGTTCCGATATTGTTTCCCTTCTTTCTCCTAAAAGAACGTGACATTGCTTATAATGACCAATATTTACATGGTGGGTGTCGCGAATGAAGCAGAAGACGTTTGCTCTTCCAGAAGATGTGATCTTATTCTCCTTGTACTTTTTCAGTGGTTGGGTTGTAAATATTACCCAAGTTAAATCTTACCTGAGTTTGAATCAATATTCTGTTAACATGTTGAATTATTAAAATATGACATCCATTAAATACATTTATACAAATATAACCTTATTTGCTATATTATGTGGTATACTACCACAGTTTGACTATGGTTAAATGTTTTTACGAAAAAGTATATTGTGTTACCTATTGTACTACATGTAACGTGAGCTGTTTGTATAGAACTTGGTAGCATTAAAGACTTGTGAGAAAATCAGCTTGACATATCAATGGACATTTCTTTCGTGAATTTTTATTTGATTAAAGAAAGTATGGATGGTATACGTGTGCTCGATAAATATAACTATACACTAAAGTCAGGGTTATACATTATTTTAGAAACGATAACTCGTAGATAGTGAAATGAAAATTAATCGCGTTTCAGGGGTGCTCTTCAGTACAGCACACATCAATATAATTTAACCTAGTTTATTACAATATTTCAAATCGTTTGTCACGTCAACAGGTGTCCGTCTGTTTAATTTCAGTTTAAGTAATAATTTATTGAAACTTGGTGCCCTTTTATCGCGTAATGACCCACAGAAATATTCATTTAGACTTTTCTCCACTGACAATCTGTAGGGGTTTAGTATTAATTCACTAAGAATGGTTATTTGTTTTTTAATCTGTTCAGCTGACACTGCATCTTGATCAGCAGTAATATGATTTCTTAACCACGACTCATACATTATGGACAACACACTTATTCACATAGATGTTTGGAATATTCCCAATAACGATAAGAATTGTTCGTGAGTTAGAAAATAGTTATAACATAAAGTAGTGAATATCAAGATGATTTTTAGATCGCGGTATTTGTTTAGTTAACAGATATCATTGTCTAAAGTCTTTTTTTTTTGGGGGGGGGGAGACAAGTAGCATGTGTAATTTATACGCGTTATATTCTTCAAGAGATATCTGTACTGCCGTTATTAACAGGTTTTCATACCTAAAAGTGTTGTCTAAGACTGTTGGATTTGTTGGAAATGTATTTGGAAATGATGTGATTAACTTATTAGAAGCAACCCTATTACAGTAGTTGTGCTATATTTAGTTCCTATGCAATACTCGCATTGCATTATCTATACATTTGGAGGATGCAGAACACATGCGAACATTAAAAAGAATAATTCAAACTATCAACCAACTAAAATATAACTTAGTAACAAAAGACGTGCATGTATTACTGCCAAATTATAGTGTGAAATGTATTGTATGACCCGATATCTACATGTAAGAGATACCAAACAGATAAACAGGATTTGTTTGGGAAAAAATTATTGATATTTATATATATTATATTATATTGATTATGGGGACACACACTTATTCATTCTAGTACTGGGTATTAACACGGTTTCTACACGAACACACACGCTGAAATGATGAGATTATCTATTATGAAGACACGTATTTATTTCGCTGGTGATTTATGTTAATACCCAATTATTTTGGCAAAAGGAAATGCATGTAATGTGCAATGTGAATGATATGATTTCTTTGTGTTAATAATTGCTTCATAATTGGCGTAAAGGTTTAGAGAGAATAAGAACACACAACTGACTGTCGTACATAATGATATTAATCATTATATTGATCAAACTCCTCCCACCTTGCGTTATTCAGAGTGGTTTTATACTCAATCGTAAAATCGATCCATATCCATATCAAATATATATATATATAAGAATCGAGAACCTTGCATGTATCCAAATGTTACAGGAAACGACATTTTAACTTAAAGCAATGTTAATGGAGTTTAACTCTAGATGTATCATTTCAATCACCTGATGTGTTTTAACGTTTAAATTCCTGTTTTTAAAATACCTTTAATCATGACTGACATTTAATTCAAATTATAAACAAAATAAAGAATAACTTTTGAAAACTCTAAACTTACAAATTAAAATTTCAAAAAATCTAATTAAATAGTGTTGTGTCAATTAAACATTGGTAATTGAAATAAAATATTTGTTTATAAAAACTAGTATGAGTACTTTGGTCTTTTATCATAAATCGAAAAGAAATGTCACTGGATTGCACGAGGTACTTAATCTTAACACTGAACCCCATGTCTTTATCGGTATTCCTAGGTAGGTACATATTTATCAATAAACCCATACAAATGTATGCAATATTTTATTGCCAACAAAGGCGTATCTTTTTACTAGTTTTGCGAAATGTTACCTGTGATCACAATTGTCTGTGATTAAATTTGTTATTCAATTTACTGTGTCTTTGTCAATAACATTTTTACCTATGTCATAGCTTTTAGTATTAACGTTTTTTCTTTACATATGATACATATAAAACCATCTTTTATGTTAACCAATCCATAAATATTGTACTTATTTTAATCTTCATTCTGAAAAATTCACGATTCCTAATTTTGGTATTTAACATAACAATACAAAGTTATAGCATTGTTCCTAGTTCCGACATATTCAGTATGTTGTTGCATTGGATGAATACAAAGGACGCCAGTAGCAACATTCTATTGTACTTTTACAGTTACGAAGAATGCATATATACTTTTGATTCCGTTGTGAATGGCCTTATTTTTAACGTAAATTTTCTCGTTGTGTAATGAACAAATGAAATATTTACACTGTGCATAAATGTTACTTATATATAAATGTAATTACAGGTGCATTGTACATACCTAGGTTTCCATTGGTAATCAATTTGTGTAGTATCCACACAGCTAACCTACCGACCGCCAAAGAGATACATTTCCTCGCTGACGTCTAGGTTCCAACAGATTCATACTCTGTATTAGGCTATGTATAGGTATTCAGAGGGTCCTGTGTTTAACACAGTTGGAAACTAGCCTAATATTACTGTTATATTATTTGTCCTTACCAGTACAAACTGCACGCTGTATATCAGTCTTTTGATATTGTTCGAGATCCCGAGGCGTGCAGACCACAGGATAATAAGAATGAAAGGGTTTAAATACCCCGTATTACGTTTTCAATACATACCAAGGTTGGTGTTCGGGGGATTAGTACCGATATAGAAGGAGACATTTAAAAAGTGTATGCGAGTGGTTATGAGCTTTACCAAACAGACGAAACGAGATCAAGAGATAAGACCAACTTCACAAAGACTAAAATATACACACAACTTTCTCGTGACATCATACTTGTTACAAGTAATGGGATAGAATACTGATCTGTTCGCTCGAGGACACACATTTACTGGTACCTGTACAGTAAACTAGACGTGGTACTTGTTTACATAATTCCCCATCGATTCCTACATAAGAAACATCACGAAAATATCAATATTGCAACATGATTATGATCCAAACTCAAATTCCATAAGATAATTTATTATGAAATCGATGTTAGGGATATTGAGAGAGTATACCACGACATATTAAACTTACGGAACTAGTACAAAATGTGAACAAAAGAAATAGTTACACGCAGACCCCTGGAAAAGTACATGAAGAATAAAACCAGGTGTTCCGGAAGAAAATTGTGCCTATTTGACATCCGTTTCGTTATCCGTCGTGGTATAATTTCCCAGTATTCCTTACATCCTTTTTATAATAAATTCTCTCAGTTTGGACTGGGGTGGGGGGGGGGGGGGGTGGAATGGTGACAACATCATAATTATAAAAAGAAACATTTCACCGATACCACAACTGACGCTTATCGCTGGATGCGATTTATCTCGTAAGCTTTTAGAGATAAATATTATTTAAGAAGATAATATGGTTGCTTCTTTGTCATGATTGAATCTATTTGTTGAATGTAGCTGCATCTTGGGATGTATTTAGAGTTCAAAAAAATAAAGGTTTAGTATTTTGGAAAGGAAAAATAGTGTAAGTTTTATATGGTCATTTTCATAACTGGCTGGTTATAAGACGTTGATGGTATACGATTGTATCATTCCCCTTATGAAATGTCATGTTTTTACCTAACTTAATGCTTTTTCGTGGGCTATTTGTTGAGCAACTGTTCTTGAAGTTGGAAATATATTTCTGTTGATTAAGTCTCTTATTGGAAGTACTGAAAGGCATGAGTAGTCGATAACATAACACACAAAACGTTCGATCGTTTTTCAATCATGACATATATAGCATTTTTTGTTGTATATTAAAACAATCCAATACTTAAGATTAATTGTAGATTATGTGAAGATATTTCAAGTAAGTCAAATATTTCATTAATTACAAGTACGAACAGAGAGTGCAGTTTGGATTGAAACCATTCTGCGATGTTTTCTTTAAAGAGATTCTTACATGTGTTTTATAGATTAAGATTATAATTTATTGAACTAGTTCAGTTCTATTAAATATATTTGATATAGAAAGCTGCCACTGATATACATTGCATAATAGCAGTCAGTCATGACGGTAACATATAAACAACATGTTACGCATGACTGCTCTTGTATACATACGCGAAAAGATGCATTACATTATTATCGCACGTACAGCGAACATTTTAATCATCGTTTAGCTACCACACATAAATGGAAAATAAGGCATTCCTAACTACATGTTAGAAACTCGTTATGGTTACCTATTAAATAACTGTAGGCTATTAATGATATCGTGCGTTTTCAAAAAATGCATTCGCGACCAGAATACAGGTCATTGTATTTCACTTATTTGAAATTTCCCAAACTCTTTTGAAATGAAGTGGTATGAAATGTGTATCGAGTTACTAGATTTTTGGTAAGCGATCAATACATAGGAAAACTTATGACGTCTAGCGTGGATCGATGGTAAAGTACAGTACACGTGTCAACCATTTGTAAGATCAACATGACAAGGAAGGATTTGTATCACTGACTGCGTTCATAAGAATGAAGATATATGTACGATACCACAATAGGACTAGATCAGGTGGCATGAATTGTAGTTAATTATCAATGGAATGGATATTTGATATGGTGTACAAGAACAGATTGTTCCTTCTTGTTATAATGTAAAACGTTTTCTTATATATTACATAAAATGTACCATACTCGTGAAATGAAACCTTTTCTTAAACTCTTTATGCCAGTTATACACTTTCTAGAGTGTCATTGATTCCATACAGATTTAGACTTTTATATAATACATCATGCTGTAAACGATAATATCCTTGTAATTGTTGCGGTATGCCTTTCACAATTACACTTTCTACAGAATAACTTTGATATGATTTAACATTTATGAAATGTTTTGGAAATTTAGATCAAATGTTGTCATGCAGTATTTACCTGTGGTTCTGTTCAGAATGGATAGTCCGTCTTATCGTTCCTTCCTATACAGTGTACATTCAACTGGATTTTCTGCCAAAATCAATCTACCTGCTACGGCTCTGTTGGGGTCCAGGGTAGAAATGTGCCCTGTCACTTGGTGCCAAGTCCATGTTAAACGAATATCATTCACGAAATTTGATACTGACTGCAAATGTCTGCTTTATACCCAATTAATTATATAGCAGTACATGTGTTGACCCATTGGGTTAGACATCCCCATGTATTGGTTCTAATGGTTTTCTATTGTTCATATATAGTAAGGTTAGTTCTAAATATTACGTTAGAGATTGTCGAGACATATATAACGTTATACTACATCAATAAATAAGATATTGGATATTTCCCGTGTTGTTATATACATTGTGTTATATGCGACTGTTTCATTCTCTTGTGTCTTTATGTACATATCATTGTGGACACATATATGAATAAAGCATCGTGCACTTTTGACTTGACTTCATTCATAGTTAATGCGTTTATCGTTTACACTTTACTACTTCGTCATTCAATTTCCTGATTATGACGCTAATCTGCACCAATAATTCACCTATACCAGAGCTTTGCATTTCTTGTGTCCATCGGTAATCCCTATGTTATTCACTTGTTCAGGAGTCCTCTTTTGTTGATGTTTTGCCCTGTTATCGTCAAATTTAATTTTTGAATGAAGATTCTGTTGACATGATGGCAATGTCTTTGTTGGATTTGATAATCTGGGTAGACGCTGCATCGTTGTCAAATAGTGTACTATTTCTTTTGTGTTTATTAATAAAAAAAATTGTGACCTAGAATCTGGTGCTGCATATCGCAGAAAATATGATTATTTTTGCTGAGTTAAGATTGAGGTCAGTGTGATGTTTCTAACGTCTATTACATATGTATCTGACTAGGATATTGATACCGTTCACCTGATAATTATGTCAATCCGAAAGAAGCTTACACATACTTTCCTCTCAGAGGTTTCGGCTTTTCTCGAAAGACGGAGTGCAACTGACTTCTAAGTATTGACCGCTTCCGATCAAAATTAAAAGCAGTCACCCCATCGGCCAACGATCAAATATTGTCGGATTAGTATGACACTATGACCACAACTAGACATACATAAGCATACTTCACAACCTCTGTGGTAGTGTTGGTACATACGTAACTTTAAACGTTATAACATTGAATGTTTTCCGTTTGTTAATACAGGATATCTGACAGGGGTGGCGGTATTCCACACGATATCGTTGACAAGGTATGGCGATATAATTATACAACTGCTGATTCTCTAACGGATGATCAGGAGCAAACTGGTGGCATTTTCGGGGAAGTGATTAGTCCAGCTGGAAGAGGAGGAGAATCTGCAAGTCGTATGCATGGGTAGGTGTTTAAATAAAGTTCTCGGTGGTAAGTGTTTATATAAAGTTCTAGAGGGGTAAGTGTTTATATGAAGTTCTAGGGAGTAAGTGTTTATATAAAGTTCTAGGGAGTAAGTGTTTATATAAAGTTCTAGAGGGGTAAGTGTTTATATAAAGTTCTAGGGAGTAAGTGTTTATATAACGTTCTAGGGAGTAAGTGTTTATATAACGTTCTAGAGGGGTAAGTGTTTATATAACGTTCTAGAGGGGTAAGTGTTTATATAAAGTTCTAGAGGGGTAAGTGTTTATATAAAGTTCTAGAGGGGTAAGTGTTTATATAACGTTCTAGGGAGTAAGTGTATATAAAGTTCTAGGGAGTAAGTGTTTATATAACGTTCTAGAGGGGTAAGTGTTTATATAACGTTCTAGAGGGGTAAGTGTTTATATAAAGTTCTAGGGAGTAAGTGTTTATATAACGTTCTAGAGGGGTAAGTGTTTATATAAAGTTCTAGGGAGTAAGTGTTTATATAACGTTCTAGGGAGTAAGTGTTTATATAAAGTTCTAGAGGGGTAAGTGTTTATATAACGTTCTAGGGAGTAAGTGTTTATATAAAGTTCTAGGGAGTAAGTGTTTATATAAAGTTCTAGGGAGTAAGTGTTTATATAACGTTCTAGAGGGGGGTAAGTGTTTATATAAAGTTCTAGAGGGGTAAGTGTTTATATAAAGTTCTAGAGGGGTAAGTGTTTATATAAAGTTCTAGAGGGGTAAGTGTTTATATAAAGTTCTAGGGAGTAAGTGTTTATATAACGTTCTAGGGAGTAAGTGTTTATATAAAGTTCTAGAGGGGTAAGTGTTTATATAAAGTTCTAGAGGGGTAAGTGTTTATATAACGTTCTAGGGAGTAAGTGTTTATATAACGTTCTAGGGAGTAAGTGTTTATATAAAGTTCTAGAGGGGTAAGTGTTTAAATGAAGTTCTAAGCAACAAAAGAAATTACCGAAATGTGAACATAATCTACGATAAAGAGCCCAGATGTTCCAGAGGGGTACGGGTCTTTCGCTTGAACGGTGACACTCACCATATGCTTTATTATTGAAGTATTCGTTTAAAAAGCAATTGTTTATTTTTGTCTATTCTTTTTTTATTACATGTCTTAAACCCCTGCTGCTGTTTTTTATCTAATATTTCAATGAATCAGCACAGCTGCGTTTATCTTGGACTTGTGTTGATTAAGTTTCAAAGTAGGTTGGTCTTTATTAATTAAATTATTACTTTAATATGAATTACATGTATTGTCGCCGTCTGTCATTTGGAAATGGGGGATATCGCGGAATAAATACGAAGGTTAGATAGTAAAATCACTTATTCAAGATAGAATGTTATGAGATATGGTGTACTTCTTCGGGAGTCTCCGTGTAAATCTTTCTTATGTTCATATTTTGCCCTCGTTTCATGGAATTTTGAGTTTGAATTATGATTATGTTACCATGTTGGTATTTCTTTCTGATTTTTGTTATCAATTAAATGATTGTGTCTAGTGGCATATTTTCATGAAATTTCACATACAGTTGCCGTGGACATGCCCTTATCAATTCCATGGTTAATCCGTACAACGTTGGTGTTACTCTTAAATACAGTCGGTAGTAAATGGCTTGGGATTCATTTGTAGGACAAGCAGTGGGGCGGATTTATTCGAAACTAAAAATTCTAATGCAAGCTATATCTCATATAGTTAGATTTCCTATACGTTTTCGATGCTTTCTATATTTTGTCACAGGTATGGTTTCGGATTGCCTACAGCTAGAGCTTACGCTGAGTTCCTCGGAGGATGTATAACTCTGGAGACCATGCAGGGTATAGGGACAGACGTATACATCCGTCTCTCCCATATCGACTCTATCAGCAGCGTCAACAAACCAAGCTTTAGGATCTAATCACAAGTGTTGAGTATGCAGTATAGATAGGGACATTCCATCTACAGAATAACACCATGTGGTCGTTGTGTAGATTTGTCTTTTTGATGCAGATGACAGAACAAGTTTTTGTTAAATACACGAAAGATTTTACCATGGAGATAATGCATTCGGCTTTAGCCACGAAAGAAAGTACTCTCTACAGTTTTATGTTTTAGTGTCGTTAAACTCTGGTTAGTTAACAATATGTCAGATTTTATCATCGATGTTCGATTGATATCGATATTTGGAATATAACGTTAATTATTATCACTTTACAGCAGTCCTTATGTATTATCAGACTGCATCAACTGTTCCATATATACATGTATAGATTATTTTTATAATGCCAACAGTTCCAGCCTCAAATATATTGATTGTATTTTTCTTTAACCTTACACTCGAACGTCATTGTATTATCTACACATCATTATCTTATTTAACTTTCGTCTGTGTTCGTTCATTGACGATAGAAGGCCAACTTTGTTAAGGGCATTATCTTCACCTTGTAGTCGATGTTTCTCAAACACACTTAAGGGGTTCGTTGCCGTTGTCATATGAGTCATTCAACTCAGTGAATGAAGGGAGCTAATGCCAATTAGGTTTGAGACAAATCGTAACAACAAGAAAAGAATACATATTAAATGTCTGTATTATATCTATATGTAAATATTTTAGTCATTATAACGACGGGTTACCCCAATTAAAACAAACAAACTTAAAATTCTGCCATGTTAAATTTGAATTGCTTCCATTAGATTTATTTACAAAGGAATGACTGCCAAAATGTTTTATCATACAGCATAACTTTATCAATCAGCTTCTTCGATCAGTTATGGTAGACGTATCCCTGAGAGTAGAATTTCTCGTATTGCTACCATCAATATAACACTACCAAATCATGGTAATCTTCATGTTGATTTCACTAACTGCCATCCAGATGTCTTGTTTGTCAATCAACACCAAACAAAATATGCTGTTCTAGTTAGGAGTTGGAATAGAAGGGAGATCAGTCTTTATATAAATTGATTGTATGATTGTATCACTATCATCTATAATGTTCATGTTGAAACATTATAAGCTAACTGTATAGTAATAGTCTTTCACATCATCAAACAGGAAAGATAACTCATGTTTTCCAGATTGTACTTGAAGAGTTATGTCCCTTCCATTAACACGGACTTTTTATCTTGATCGATGACTGCACATAGTTTATGTATTTTTAACGGTATACATTAGTGTTGCTTCTGTTTGATGATTATAATATCAATCACATAGATACAAACCATATGACTGTTTACACACAGACCCAGAACATGCTTTGATAATCATTTATCTGGTTTATTATATAGCTTCGGGAGTGTTTAAAAGAAATGTTATATATTAGAACTGCATTCTTATTTTCTGATATTTAAGTTATGTCATCACTCAGTACAATGTACGAAGATACTTTATACTCTGTTATTTGCATGAATACTGTTGATTGTGCTGTATAGACCTCTATTGATTAGATTCATTTCAGAACATTGATATGTTTGCTTTTTATCGGGAATCTCATAAAGCCACATATATAATTATAGTAATACAGACACATGTATTATGGGGTTTTTTTTCTAACTAGTCGGCCTTTTGTGTGATAATTTTGTGTTTTAATTTTGTGTGATAAGTCATTTTGTTTTATATTTTTGTATGCCCCCTTTTTAGTTATATTTTTGAAGGTTTATTATTTGTTGTTATATGGTTATTTCTAGTCCATTACTATGTTTTATATTTTTGTGTGACTATCTGTTACCTCTTGTAATCGTGTAGTCGTCATGTGTTATAATTGTATAGTCGTCATGTGTTATAATTGTATAGTCGTCATGTGTTATAATTGTATAGTCGTCATGTGTTATAATTGTATAGTCGTCATGTGTTATAATTGTATAGTCGTCATGTGTTATAATTGTATAGTCGTCATGTGTTATAATTGTATAGTCGTCATGTGTTATAATTGTATAGTCGTCATGTGTTATAATTGTATAGTCGTCATGTGTTATAATTGTATAGTCGTCATGTGTTATAATTGTATAGTCGTCATGTGTTATAATTGTATAGTCGTCATGTGTTATAATTGTATAGTCGTCATGTGTTATAATTGTATAGTCGTCATGTGTTATAATTGTATAGTCGTCATGTGTTATAATTGTATAGTCGTCATGTGTTATAATTGTATAGTCGTCATGTGTTATAATTGTATAGTCGTCATGTGTTATAATTGTATAGTCGTCATGTGTTATAATTGTATAGTCGTCATGTGTTATAATTGTATAGTCGTCATGTGTTATAATTGTATAGTCGTCATGTGTTATAATAGTATAGTCGTCATGTGTTATAATTGTATAGTCGTCATGTGTTATAATTGTATAGTCGTCATGTGTTATAATTGTATAGTCGTCATGTGTTATAATTGTATAGTCGTCATGTGTTATAATTGTATAGTCGTCATGTGTTATAATAGTATAGTCGTCATGTGTTATAGTTGTATAGTCGTCATGTGTTATAGTTGTATAGTCGTCATGTGTTATAGTTGTATAGTCGTCATGTGTTATAGTTGTATAGTCGTCATGTGTTATAATTGTATAGTCGTCATGTGTTATAATAGTATAGTCGTCATGTGTTATAATTGTATAGTCGTCATGTGTTATAATTGTATAGTCGTCATGTGTTATAATTGTATAGTCGTCATGTGTTATAATTGTATAGTCGTCATGTGTTATAATTGTATAGTCGTCATGTGTTATAGTTGTATAGTCGTCATGTGTTATAGTTGTATAGTCGTCATGTGTTATAGTTGTATAGTCGTCATGTGTTATAATTGTATAGTCGTCATGTGTTATAATAGTATAGTCGTCATGTGTTATAATTGTATAGTCGTCATGTGTTATAATTGTATAGTCGTCATGTGTTATAATTGTATAGTCGTCATGTGTTATAATTGTATAGTCGTCATGTGTTATAATTGTATAGTCGTCATGTGTTATAATTGTATAGTCGTCATGTGTTATAATTGTATAGTCGTCATGTGTTATAATTGTATAGTCGTCATGTGTTATAATTGTATAGTCGTCATGTGTTATAATTGTATAGTCGTCATGTGTTATAATTGTATAGTCGTCATGTGTTATAATTGTATAGTCGTCATGTGTTATAATTGTATAGTCGTCATGTGTTATAATTGTATAGTCGTCATGTGTTATAATTGTATAGTCGTCATGTGTTATAATTGTATAGTCGTCATGTGTTATAATTGTATAGTTGGCATATGTTATGATAATGTGTGATTATATGTTAGATGTTGAGTTGGTTTGTACGGGTAGTTGTCCTGTGTTATGAGTTTGTGTGACTATATGTTAGATGTTGAGTTGGTGTGTACGGGTAGTTTTCCTGTGTTATGAGTTTGTGTGACTATATGTTAGATGTTGAGTTGGTTTGTACGGGTAGTTGTCCTGTGTTATGAGTTTGTGTGACTATATGTTAGATGTTGAGTTGGTGTGTACGGGTAGTTTTCCTGTGTTATGAGTTTGTGTGACTATATGTTAGATGTTGAGTTGGTGTGTACGGGTAGTTTTCCTGTGTTATGAGTTTGTGTGACTATATGTTAGATGTTGAGTTGGTTTGTACGGGTAGTTGTCCTGTGTTATGAGTTTGTGTGACTATATGTTAGATGTTGAGTTGGTGTGTATGAGTAGTTGTCATGTGTTATGAGTTTGTGTGACTATATGTTAGATGTTGAGTTGGTGTGTACGGGTAGTTTTCCTGTGTTATGAGTTTGTGTGACTATATGTTAGATGTTGAGTTGGTGTGTATGAGTAGTTGTCATGTGTTATGAGTTTGTGTGACTATATGTTAGATGTTGAGTTGGTGTGTACGGGTAGTTTTCCTGTGTTATGAGTTTGTGTGACAATATGTTAGATGTTGAGTTGGTGTGTATGAGTAGTTGTCCTGTGTTATGGGTTTGTGTGACTATATGTTAGATGTTGAGTTGGTGTGTACGGGTAGTTTTCCTGTGTTAAGTGTTTGTGTGACTATATGTTAGATGTTGAGTTGGTGTGTATGAGTAGTTGTCCTGTGTTATGAGTTTGTGTGATTATATGTTAGATGTTGAGTTGGTGTGTATGAGTAGTTGTCATGTGTTATGAGTTTGTGTGACTATATGTTAGATGTTGAGTTGGTGTGTATGAGTAGTTGTCATGTGTTATGACTTTGTATGTTTTATGTTTCGGTGTTTATTAGTGTGTAAAACTGTTTTGTGTTTTACTTTTGTGTGACTATGAAATACGTATTATTTTTTATTTATTATTATTATTATTTTTTTTTTTTGCGTTTTTATTCGGTGAATATACTCCTGTCATATTTTTGCTCATTACACACGTGTAATGGAGTTAATTGTGTCGTCACTCTAGATTACAAAATAGTTTCACACGCAGTGGATACCATAGATCTAGAACGGCCTTGACCTCATGTTTGATCATTTATTGAAAACAAATTCGTTTTCATTTAATACATTTCAAATAGAAACTGGTGTCAAATTACGTATATTTGTATGGTTTGTCGATATGTGTTATTTTATGATTATGAATTACGTGTTTTGTTTATGTGTATGGCTTGTCAATATGTGTTATTGTAGGATTATGAATTACGTGTTTTTCCTATGTGTATGACTGTTCTTTATGTGTTATTATTGTGTAAGATTATGCATTACGTGTTTTGTTTGTGTGTATGACTGTTTGTTATCTTTGTTACTGTGTAAGATTATGCATTACGTGTTTTGTTTGTGTGTATGACTGTTCCTTATCTTTGTTACTGTGTAAGATTATGCATTACGTGTTGTGTTTGTGTGTATGACTGTTCCTTATCTTTGTTACTGTGTAAGATTATGCATTACGTGTTTTGTTTGTGTGTATGACTATTCCTTATCTTTGTTACTGTGTAAGATTAGGCAATACGTGTTTTGTTTGTGTGTATGGCTGTTTGATATCTTTGTTACTGTGTAAGATTATGCATTACGTGTTGTGTTTGTGTGTATGACTGTTCCTTATCTTTGTTACTGTGTAAGATTATGCATTACGTGTTTTGTTTGTGTGTATGACTGTTCGTTATCTTTGTTACTGTGTAAGATTATGCATTACGTGTTTTGTTTGTGTGTATGGCTGTTCCTTATCTTTGTTACTGTGTAAGATTATGCATTACGTGTTTTGTTTGTGTGTATGACTGTTCGTTATCTTTGTTACTGTGTAAGATTATGCATTACGTGTTTTGTTTGTGTGTATGACTGTTCCTTATGTGTTGTTACTGTGTAAGATTATGCATTACGTGTTTTGTTTGTGTGTATGACTGTTCTTTATGTGTTATTACTGTGTAAGATTATGCATTACGTGTTTTATTTGTGTGTATGACTGTTTGTTATCTTTGTTACTGTGTAAGATTATGCATTACGTGTTTTGTT